ATCCAAGGATTATCATCATGCTGCTATAAAGCACATCACACATATTTTATGCGGCACTTATTCCAATACCAAAGACTTGACATCGCAACCCAAAATGTCCATCACTGACAGACTGGATTAATGAAAATGTGGCACAGTATACACCATGCGAAATACTATCCAGCCCATAAAAAAGGATGAGTTCGCTAGTGCTGTTGAGAGCGACACGTAGGATGCAGCTAAAAACGCATCATCTCAGCCAAAACTGGTCGCAAAGAAAAAAAACCAAACATGCATGTTCTCAGTTCATACGTGGAAAATTGAACAATGGAGAATAACTTGGGCACGAGGGAAGGGTACATCACAACCAACCGGAGGCTGTGATGCGGGTGGAGGCGAGCGGAAGGTGGGTGAGGGAAACGGGGGGGGGGAGGGATACGCCTTTGGAGGGAGATATACCTAATGTAAATGATGAGTTAATGGGTGCAGCACACCAACATGGAACATGTATACATATGTAACAAACCTGCATGTTGTGCACATGTACACTAGAACTTAAAGTATAATAAAAAATAAATAAAATAAAAAAGAAAAACAATCACATAAAAACAGCATCTACTACTCAAATGTAAGCTGAAGTGTGTTTGAATTCTGCTTGCTTTGTGAACTAGGACAATCCACTCATTTTATCTCCCATTTTATTTGCTTATAGAAAAGACACAACTCAGTATTCAGAACTTGAGTAGAACGTTTGAGGGAGGCAAAGGGAGAGAAGGGTGTGATAAATTACTTGTCTGCCCTCACAAGGATCTGCTGGAGATACCACCCACTTTTACTAAAAGGTGCAGTGTTGTCAACTCTCACTAGAGACAGATTTGGCTATTCAATGGGTTACTGTGAAAAAGAAGTTGAGACATAAAGAGCACTGAGCAGAAAGAAGTGCTTCTCTTAAGGCTCTCCATTTCGAAAGTTTTATTCACTAGCTTTAGATTCTCTCAAGGCGATTTATCAAAAATTGCAATTTCAAGGGAACACTTTGAGATCTCTTAAAATCAAGGGATCCAACATCTCTCCAACTGTGACTTCATGAAGTACACTGGAAATGATCAGCTCAGTAGCACCTTGAGTCTCTGAGCTCTTTCTCAACAAAAGCACCCATTATCACCAGGGCATTTGTCACAGAATTTCTCTTTGACCCAGTTCTATTTAAACAGGTAACTCCCGTGGCTCCACTATACATAACTAACCTCTTGCTTGTGGATAATGTGGCTGAATGTATAATCTGCATACTTTCTTTTTTTTTTTTTTGAGACGGAATCTTCCTCTGTCCCCAGGCTGGTGTGCAGTGGTGCGATCTTGGCTCATAGAAACCACAGCCTCTTGGGTTCAAGTGATTCTCCTGCCTCAGGCTCCCGAGTAGCTGGGACTACAGGCGGCTGCCACCATGCCCAGCTAATTTTTTTGTATTTTTAGTAGAGACTGGGTTTCACCGTATTAGCCAGGATGGTCTTGATCTCCTGACCTTGTGATCTGCCTGCCTTGGCCTCCCAAAGTGCTGGGATTACAGGCGTGAGCCACCACGCTCGGCCAATCTGCATACTTTCTATATCTAACCATTTCTTATTTTTGAAATTCCAGTAGGGCATCCAAATAATAGCAAAAAGTCTTAACTCTCCTTTTTATACAACAGGCATGTTTTAAAATAGTAAGGACAAATCAAATTTTAGAAAATTAGATCATGTTGGAAAAAGCTCTCAGAGAACTTAATATTTTAAATAAATTCATTGGGAAACAAGTCATAGAGAATTCTTTTGAAACGCAAACAACCACTCCAAGGTAATCACAGATGTAGAAAGATGTTATAACAAGATAAGCTGAATGTATATACGTGTGTGTGTGTATGCATATATATGTATGTATAAAGCCACTTAATTCATCAAATTGACCCAATCACATTACATGAATGCAAACAAGGACCATCGTGTTGCTACTGTTGTAACAAAGCCTCCTACCTTGCTCTGAAATGATGCTCCTGGTTACTTCTTTCAATGGTCCACACGCTCACTGCACTTGGACTTGATAAGCACAGCTGGCGCCAGTTCATGGGGTTAAAAGACATTTGGTTCACATCCATTCCAGGCTGTGATTTCTTGCACAAAATGATATTCGATTCCCAGTTCCTTAGAGAAAAATAGCATTTGATGAAAAAAATTAATTTGAATTTAATGTACTTAGAACATTTATCTATTTTTAAAATTTATATAAATTGGGATATAATTTATGATATGATTGATATAATCGATGACCTTAATGTCAAATTTATAAATAATTATGCTTATCATTGTATTGTATCCTAAGAAAGCAAAATAACTGTATATTTTAAAAACATTATACTGTCATATGCTATACCAAGGCTATTTTGTCCTCTTTAATAATTTTGCAATTTAACTCAGCCAAACCTAGAAAATGACATATATCATCACATTTGCTACAAAACAAGTGTAAGTGCCTGAATCTCTAAGTATTATATGTGAGTACTCCATGTGGATCTCGGGGTACTGTTCTCATTCATGCCAATTGACCATTTATTGAGTTTTTAAAATTAAAGTGGTGCCAGGTGCAGTGGCTCACACCTGTAATTCCAGCACTTTGGGAGGCCAAAGTGGGTGGATCACGAGGTCAGGAGCTCGAGACCAGCCTGGCCAATACGGTGAAACCCTGTCTCTACTAAAAATACAAAAATTAGCTGGGTATGGTGGTGCATGCCTTTCCCAGCTACTTGGAAGGTTGAGGCAGAAGCATTGCTTGAACCTGGGAGGCGGAGGTTGCAGTGAGCCAAGATCATGCCACTGCACTCCAGCCTGGGCGACAGAGCAAGACTCCATCTCAAAAATAAATAAATGAATAAAGCGGTGTATTTTAAAATGGATTTATTCATTTACCCATTTGAGAGACTATCCTGAACTCCTACCATGAACAAAGTCCCTTGCTACATGAAAGAAAAGAAAAAAATTAAATGTGAGCTATGCCCTTAAATGAGGGGCCAGAACTCCATTCAGAGCTGTGATTAGGGAACTGGAGCTAATATTTATTGAACTTAGCTTGTCTTTCACTCCCTCCTGCCCTCGTCCTTCATTTCCTATGACAAATGCCCTGCCCATCACATCAACCACACTCTTGCTGGAATCTCTGGTTCCCTTGATCCTTTGACTTTTTGCGTCAGGTACCTGGAAAAGACCGTCAACCCTGAATGGAGAAAACTGAAAGCCTGGGCTACTGGAGACATGGGAACAAAGACTACAGGACTGTACATGGCAGTGACACCATACATTTGTGGTTGCCACCCCCACCAGACCCTCAATAGGCTCTCCAATACTGCTATGTTTCTCTGGCCAGTTCTCTCTCTCTCATTCTCTAAAATGGGCATTTAAAATATTCTCCCCTCTCCTGAAACCTCTAGCCCCTCTACTCCCTTCTCAATCTCAGTAAATGACCTTGATTCTCATGAATATATAAAATAGAGGCCATCAGCTGAGAATTCTTGCTCTCAAGTATAACTACCCATTCAGGTTGGCATGGTTCTCTCCGCCTCCTCTTCCCTTACAATGGAAGGTGTGTCCTTCCTCCTACCTAAGGCCAATTTCACCTCCTGTGCTCTGGGTCCCACGGTCTTGCCTTCTTAGGGACATTGGTTTATCCATGATAACTGCATCTTCAACTCTCCCTGTCTCCTGACTTCTTCCTGCCAACACACAAGTGCTCATCCATATCATTCTCAAAAGAAGCCTTCCCTCAGTCTCACCTTTCTATGTCTCTCCCCTCTCCTCGGAGTCAAACTTTTTGAGCAAGCTGTTCTAAAGTCACCACCATGGCTTCCTCAGCTACACTCTCCTCATCCCAGGATATCTGCATCCTGTCACCACCATTCCATTGACATAGCTATATCCACAGACACCCGCCTTCATCCTAAATCCAAAAGGCACTTCTTGGTCATTGTCTAACTTTACCTCTGCAGAACTGGTCACTGTTCACCACAACCACCTTCTGGAATCAGTCTCAGACTCTCTGTCACACACCTCTTATCGGACACCACAGATCCTCTCAATTGTGTCTGGGCCCTTGACCACCTCTTCTGCCTGGCTGACTCAGTGGCTGTCCAACTCTGTGTGCACTTTGACTAACTTCATGTAGGCACACCCCACCTGTGCCTCGCCTCACACCCACTTCACATGCCCAGAGGCTTCACTGGGGCTTCACTGGGGCTCCTGGGGACAATCACGACAAACCTGAAAGTGTGAAGGAGTTACCACCCTGTGCAGTGAAGCTTTGATCGATGGGATACAGGGGTTGGAAGATAAATTCTCATCTCCTCCTCTCCCCTTCCTCACTCACAGTCTGTCACTGCTTGAGGACTGTCCTGATTCACAGCAGTTCATAGAACCTCTCAGAAGACCACCTTCAAGATAGAGTAACCAATTGCACTTGGAACCAAGTGGTGGCCAGCAAGGTAACGCACCCTCATACTGGCTCTCCTGCCCTGGGATCACACACCCTGCTAAAGATGAGGTGCATGAGTTCTTGCCCCAGCCTCTGCTTTCCGTAGAACCCAGGCTGAGGCACATTCTGGAACCCTCCCTGCCTAGTGTCCTTCCTCCTTTCATAGCTACTCCTATGAGTCTTGTAGGTGGGTCCCTTCCATTGATATTCCTCTAGGTTCCACCCTAGGCTCTTCTGGAGGTGTTCTTACTTACATTTAGCACTTTGGCTATCCATTGACTTAATTATTCCCAAATGTTTACCTCCAGCCCTCGCTCCTGAGCACCAGTCCTGGATATCTGTGGCAAGGGCATGTGTCCCTCAACATTTATTCTCCATTTCTCCCTGTGAGTAACAGAACCCCCGAATATTAGCCAGGCACATATGGCCACTCACAATGAGGACCTAATATTACCCAGCCGCCCTAGAAGCTGGCTGTGGTTTATAGCCGATCCAGTCAATGAATGTAAGTGGCAGTCATGTGTGTACCTTCTACGTCCTGCATTTCCCTCCCTCCCTCCCTCCCTCCCTCCTCCTCCTTCCTTCTCTCTCTTCCTTCCCTTCTCTTCCTTCCTTTCTTTTATATTAATCAATTACTTTACTGTTCCCTAGGCATTTTAACAAAATATTCATACAATTGCCTTATTTTTTTTCAGAAAAGTCCCATTTCCCTCTCCACGTATAGATTTTTGGGTGTCCAGGATCAAGAGCCATGTACATCAACTGAATAAGCACCTGCCGGCTACATGGTACCCACTTCCGGTGCCCATGTCCTTTGCTAGTAAGAGCCTTTCACCACACCCCAAGAGGGCTGGACCTTCCCTTGCTTGACATCCTCCACTGCGAATGAAAAACCACACTTTGTAGATTCAATCCCCAGTACATCTATCAGCACTCCCCAGGTGTGTTCCATGTAATGGTGGCCAAGATCATCCTGAGAGCTACTGTCACATCATGTCAGCTGGTACCTATACCAGCATCCACTCCACTGTATCATACAGATGCTTGAGGCACTTAAGGTGTTCTGGGTAAGAAACGGAGTACGTAATTTGCCATAGGAGTTTGAAGTGTGGAGGAAGGGGACTTTCTCTCCCAATAATGAATAACCTTAATAACAAATTTAAGCTGATTATAATTTTCAACCGTCCTGTTTACATTCTATTGTCCAAAGCTTCAACAAACTATTTACAATAATGGAAAGCTGTCCAAGTTTCTAAATGCCTCTATATAAAGCAATAGAGAAACCTGCTGAGACAAAACATTGGCTTGGCCGCATAAATACATATGGCCAACATCCTGGTCATTTTTTTTTTTTTTTTTTTTTTTTTTTTTCGAGACGGAGTCTCGCTCTGTCGCCCAAGCTGGAGTGGCGTGGCCGTGATCTCCAGCCCTGCAAGCTCCGCTGGCCCCCGTTTAACGCCAATTCTCCTGCCTCAGCCTCACCCGAGTAGCTGGGCACTACAGGCCCCTGCCACCTCGCCGACATAGTTTTTTGTATTTTTTAGTAGGAGACGCGGTTTCCAGACCGTGTTTAGCCCCAGGATGGGTCTTTGAATCTCCCCTGACCCTCGTGATTCCGCTCGTCCCCTCGGGCCTCCACCAAGTGCTGCGGATTGACCAGCTTGAGCCCCCGCCCCGGCCCATCTGGTCATTCCTTAAGAAAATGCCTTGTGTTTCCAAGGCCGGGCATGGTGGCCCACGTCTGGAATCCCAGCACTTTGGGAGGCCGAGGCAGGCAGATCATGAGGTCAGGAGATCGAGACCATCCTGGCTAACATGGTGAAACCTGTTCTCTACTAAAAATACAAAAAATTAGCTGGGTGTGGTAGGGGCGCCTGTAGTCCCAGCTACTCTGGAGGCTGAGGTAGGAGAATGGTGTGAACCCGGGAGAAGGAGTTTGCCATGAGCTGAGATCGTGCCACTGCACTCCAGCCTGGGTGACAGAGTGAGACTCCATCTCAAAAAAAAAAAAAGCTTGTGTTTCCAAAAAGAATTTTTTTTCAAGTCATAAGCCTTTTGCAATTCTTCCAAGGTAATAATGTGTTTGTCCTTCCTTCTCAAGCAATGGTTTAAGGCATCTCAAGGCATATTGCTGTCTGAGGTTCCGATTTAACTGGCTCGGGGAGAGGGAAAGAGTGGGCACGAACGTTTTTTAAAAACTTCACAAGTAATTCCTGCATGTAGTCAGTGTTGAGAACCTTGGTACTAAAGGCTCTTGCATCTTCCTACTGTCACTTGTCCTCACCAAAAGTCCTTGAAGTAGTCCCTGGGTCAGGCAATGATCTCTTTCATGCAAGCCCTGCATTTCAACAACAGGTTTGTGCCCTTCCCCTCATCCTTTTCCCTCCCCACTGGCTCCCAAAATACACCGGTGGTTTAGGGTTCCTCTGCTGTTCCTAGGGTGTTGCCCTCATCTCTACATTTACCCCATTATAGACCAGAGATGAGAGCAACACCCTAGGAAAAGCAGAGCAGCATGACAGGGGAGACTGGACGCTGATCCCAAGGAGCCACCACACCATTCACAGCTGCTCATGCCCAGGCAATTGCATGTGAGAGAAGGAAACACGTGTTGGTGATTTGGGTTTCTGTGGCCACAACTGAACCTAAGTCCTAACTGATATATCAGCTACCAACTAGACATCTCTGTTTGTTCATCTCAAGCACTCTCAGTTCCGTTTGTCCCCCAGCTCATCTTCCCACATTGCCTCCCCTAAATTCCCTGTCCCCAAGCCCTCAGTATCTCTCTGAATAGCACCACAGTGTCCCTAAGTTGCCCAAGTCACACACAACTCTGGGTATAACCCTAGACCCATCCCTCTTCCTCAGCACAACACCCAACATTTAGTCAGTTATAAGTCCCATGATGCTACCTCCCAAACACCTCCCAAATAGCTTCACTTCCCTCCATCCCTACTCCCACCCTAGTCCATGCCACAGTCATCTCTCACCTGGACCACCACTGCCTCCTAATTGATGTTCATGCCTTGTTTCCTTCCAATATATCTTCCACAATATGAAAGTACTGGAGATACTTTCATTGGAAATAACTGGCTGAAAGGAGTCTTCTTAAATGCAGATATAATTGTGTCACATCCCCGCTTAAAACCCTTTAGTAGCTCCCCACTGCCTTTAGGATAAAGAATTTGTGCATTAGCACAGCTTATATGGAGTGTGGGTATCCTTCCCAGAATGCCTAGGAGAAACCCAGTTTAGGCTGAAGTGCCCTGCATTCATCAGCAACACCCTCTTTCACTCTCAAAAGCATCCTGATTTGGATGATAAACCACATGGTCACCTACTTATATGGCTGCTCATGAGCTCACCTCTGACTGTCCCTCCAAGCTTGCCTCTCTCATGGCAAATCTCTTGTTCCCATTATTATGACCTTTTCATTGAAATCTGCTGTGCTTTTTCTACTTCATGGCCTTTGCACATGCCATTCCTGTGCCTGGGATGTTCTTTCTTCTCGTCATAAAGCTGATTCCTGCTCATCCTTTAGGTATTGCTATGGGTTGAACTGTGCCTCCCCCAAATTCCCATGTTAATATTCTAACCTCCAGCACCTCAGAATGTGACCTTATTTGGAAATATGGTCTTTACAGAGGGTAATCAAGTTAAAATGAAGTCATTAGGATGGGCCCTAATCCAATAAGACTGGTGTTCTTATATAAAGGGAACATTTGGAGACAGACACACGACAGGGAGAATGCCATGTGAAAATAAAAGCAGAGATCTGGGTGATGTGTCTGTAAGCCAAGAACTGCCAGCAAACAAGTGAGCAGAAGTTGGTGAGAGGCGTGGGGGCAGATTCTCTCTCACAGCAGACCCTGCTGAGACCTTCATCTCAGAATTCTAGTCTCCAGAACTGGGAGGCAATACATGTATGCTGTTTAAGCCACCCAGTCTGTGGTACTTTGCTATGGTAGGCCTAGCTAATTAATACAAGTATCTGCTTAAACATTACCTCTCCTTCCAGGAAGCCTTCCCTGACCATTCCCCTCCACCATCAGACTAGGTGAGGTGCCCCTACTACATGTTCCCATTGTGCCTTAGATCAATGAAAGCTATAAAAGAGCTTAGAAACCAAATGAGTTTAAAGCCCACTCAGCAACTCACCAACTATATAAGTTTAGGCAAGTAGCTATAAGAACAACCAAAAAATGAAACTTGGAAACAAGAAAAATTGTGTTGGCTTGATTTCTCATACCATGTTGGGAAGCATTTTCCAACAAGCCTCCTCGAACAAAAACCAGACTTTGTACCTTGCTTTGCCCCATATCTGACACTCCTGGGGAATGTAACTTTGTTGTCATAGTATATACTAACAGCCCGATGTGATAAAGGCAGGCGTGCTTTTACAGGTTAAACTCTAGAACACATACAATGCTATGATTGTATGCCCTGGTAGAATAGTTAAGGTTAAGGTGCTAAGGTTTTAGAGACCTCTGGAAAGTTCATCATTCATATATTAACCTATAAATTTTATTTAATCACTCCTTTTTCTAACTCTATCTCTATGTGAGTAGGCGTGTGTGTGTGTGTGTGTGTGTGTGTGTGTGTGTGTGTGTGTTTTGAGACGGAGTCTCACTCTGTCACCCAGGCTGGAGTGCAGTGGCAGGATCTCAGCTAACTGCAACCTCTGCCTCCCGGGTTCAAGTGATTCTTCTGCCTCAGCCTCCCGAGTAGCTGAGATTACAGGCACCCACCACCATGTCTGGCTAATTTTTGTATTTTTTATAGAGATGGGGTTTTGCCATGTTGGCCAGGCTGGTCTTGAACTCCTGACCTCAGGTGATCCGCCCACCTTGGCCTCCCAAAGTGTTGGGATTACAGGCGTGAGCCACCGTGCCCAGCTGTGTGTGTGTTCTTTTAAGCACTCAGGAATTGCTATGGTCTGTTTGTGCCTGCCCCCAAATTTGTATGTTGAAATCCTAACCCCAATGGTGATGGTATTGGGGTATTGGGACTTTTGGGGAGTGATCAGGTCAAGGGTGCAGAGCCCTCATGATTGAGATGAGTGTCCTTATAAAAAGAGATCTAGCTCATCCCTTCAACCAGGTGAGGACATGGTGGAAATTACCATCCATGAATCAGGAAGCAGGCCCCCACCAGACACTGAAGCTCCTGGTGCCTTGATCTTGGACTTTCTAGCCTCCAGAATTGTGAGAAACATTTCTGTTGTTTATAAGCCACCCAGTCCATGGGATCTTGTGACGACTTACTAAGACAGGGACCAGCTTCTTTCGTTTTCCTGCTGGTTCCATTTTTAAGGAGTTATATAAAACCATCTTACATCTCACAATCTGTTTGAAAATTCTGCTTTAACGTCTCATATCTCTGAAGTTTCAGTCTCTTTCTTTAAAATGAGGACCATCGTAGATATCTCATGGGGGTTGTTGCAGCGGGGAGGCAAGGATTAAATGCACTAACCCATTGGAAATCTCAGTGAATGCCTCTCTGATGAAACTGCTGGTGGTAGTATGGCTGGTGTATAGCACATTGTCTTTGCTTATGAAGCCCAGATATCCCAGACCCCACCAGCCTGGGACTACAACCATGAGACCATTCCCCACCTATTTTAGATTCTTTTTCAAAGTTGTTATTTTTAATTACACAAATAATATATGAATCCATTCTGCTCTTTTAAAACATTAGAACATAAAGGTAAAGTCTTTTTAGACCAATTTATTTCCAGGAGTCAAATCATGGTACTTGAGCTCCTCCTGGTCTGACTTCCAGAAGTTCACCTCTTTTGAACTTTTACTAAATTATTTCTAGGAGTCCCCAGGGTCCACAGACTAACTGCTGTCACCAAGTGAGATGCATTCTACGCCTGTTCATCTTCTAGCTCCCTCGTGTTTAGGCCCACTGCTGGCAAAGCTACTTGGTGAAGAGGACTATTGGGCCTCATCACAGGATTAAATCCCATTCACATTTCTATGCAGCACCCGAGGGTGCCATCAGGGTTGCTCCCAAAGCTTCTGATCTTGGGTTTGCAGAGCAGAGGCTGGAGGAGGGTCTGTCTCCCAGCTCTGTTCATACTCATTCTTGGGCCCCAGGGCACCTCTGCTGCCACAGGGCCTCACTGAGAATTTTCTCATGATAGAGCAGTGTCTGGTCCTCCCCACAGCATCTACCCTATCCTCCCCTGCCCTCCTCACTCCTGCCCGCTTGTCTCTCCCCTCTGACTCAAATTTCTTAAACAGAAGTGCACATGAATATTAAGACATGCAAACAAATCTAGGGGAAGGGTTGGGACGGAGAGGAGATACTACCTACCCCTAGTCTCAGTCTCACTTCAGCTTATCAAAAATGCCCCCTACAGAAGGCTCAGATATACCTAAAATGTACCTAAGAAGAGATACATTTTATATCCAGCAGGAAGCAGGAGATACAAATTTACTGAACGAATTAAATCCAGTGAGCAAACTCAAATGCTTACAGGGGCCAGGAAGTTAATGTAAATGAACGAAATGTACTGAGTATAAACACTTCTAAGACAGGGGTTGGCAAGCTCTTTCTATAAAGGACCAGACAGTAAATCTTTTTAGCTTTGCAGACCATATATGGGCTCTATTACAACTCTAGTCTGCCATTATAGAGCAAAAGCAGCCATAGATAATATATAAGCAAATGAGCATGTTCCAATAAAACTTTATTTACAAAAACAGGTGGTGGGCCAGATTTGGCCTATGGGCCATCGTTTACCGACCCCTGCTTAAGGTGGTGGGCATCTAGAATGAGTACCCACTTACTAGCCCACACCAGACTGTGACCATGTGGGAATACAGGTCCAAGGTTGCCTGTATTTGAGAAAGGCTATACAGATAACTTTTTCTCTAAATTTTTCCAATTTTAAAAATACTTTATGGCCAAAACAAAATATATTGGTGGCCCAGAATTAGCCTAAGAATCATCACCTTTGAAACTCAGACTTAAATAAATATAATATAATAGATACTATTAGGTATGATGCATACTTTTAGTCAATGAATTATTAGAAAAACCATATTTAGGAGATTTTGATATATCCACTTTACAGAGGAAGAAATGAAGGCTCAGCCTTTCTAAGATCACACAGCTAGTAATTTGTGGAGCCAGGATTCAGGTCTAAGTCTGTTACACTAACACATTTGGGCTCATTCCACTTCACTGCTTTTTTAACATTCACAGATTGCATTTAGGAAGGACAATTGGAGTCTTCCGCTTTTGGAACTATCAGAATTTATGCACTTGTCATCTCTCCCCAGCTGCTTCCTATCTTATGTATCCAGAACTGTGAGATGATACATTTCTGTTATTCGAGACACTCAGTTTGTGATACTTTGTTACAGAAGCCCTAGCAAGCTAATACAGTACATCCATCAACAGGTGAATAAAGTATGGTATATCCATACCATGGAATAGAAAGGAATGACTATTGACACATATATGCAGCAACATAAGATAATTTCAAAATAACTATGCTGCATGAAAGAAGCCGGACAAAAGAATATACACTGTATGACTCCCTGTATATGAACTACCAGAAAATGCAAACTAGAGTGACAGAAACCACATCACTGACAAAGGCTAATAAGGAAGCTCTGAAGGAACACAAGGAAACTTTTGGGGTGATGGATGAATTTATTTATTTATTTAGAGACAGAGTCTTGCTCTGTCACCAAGGCTAGAGTGCAGTGGCGCAATCTCGGCTCACTGCAAGCTCCGCCTCCTGGCTTCACGCCATTCTCCTGCCTCAGCCTCCCGAGTAGCTGGGACTACAGGCGCCCGCCACCACACCCGGCTAATTTTTTGTATTTTTAGTAGAGACGGGATTTCACCATATTAGCCAGGATGGTCTCGCCTCCTGACCTCGTGATTCGCCCGCCTCAGCCTCCCAAAGTGCTGGGATTACAGGCACGAGCCACTGCGCCTGGCTGATAGATGTATTTATTATCTTGATTATGGTGATAGGTATATACATAAGTCAAAACTTATCAAAGTATTTACTTTATATATGAACAGTTCATTATCTATTAGCTATACCTCCATAAAGTTGTTTTAAAAAAATTTTATGGCCGGGCATGGTGGCTCATGCCTGTAATCCCAGCACTTTGGGAGACAAAGGTGGGTGGATCACCTGAGGTTAGGAGGTCAAGACCAGCCTGGCCAAAATGGTGAAACCCGTCTCTACAAAAATTAGCCAGGCCTGATGGCGGGTACCTGTAATCCCAGCTACTCGGGAGGCTGAGGCAGGAGAATTGCTTGAACCCGGGAGGCGGAGGTTGCAGTGAGCTGAGATCGTGCCACTGCACTCCAGCCTGGGCGACAGAGCAAGACTCCGTCTCAAAAAAAAAAAAAAAAAAAAATTAAATAGACTAAATGTGGCTCCCTGAATCTAGGTACTTACATTTTTGTATAAGAAATGTTCGGGCGGATCACAAGGTCAGGAGATCGAGACCACGGTGAAACCCCGTCTCTACTAAAAATAGAAAAAATTAGCCGGGCGCAGTGGCGGGCGCCTGTAGTCCCAGCTACTCGGGAGGCTGAGGCAGGAGAATGGCGTGAACCCGGGAGGCGGAGCTTGCAGTGAGCCGAGATCCGGCCACTGCACTCCAGCCTGGGCGACAGAGCAAGACTCCGTCTCAAAAAAAAAAAAAGAAATGTTCCTATGTTATCCTTTAGTCATTTCTGGAATATTCTGTACTTCCCCTTAATAAGAAAAATATCCTCTTGAAGGGGCTTATATCATGGATAGAAAAGGGAGTACAGCCTTAAAGTTGGTCACATGAAATGATCCAGGAAAGGCAAGAAATGTGTCTTAACCACAGGTATTTCCCATACAGCAGGCAAAAGTGGTATTATGTTCCACTCTCTGAATTGTTCTAATGTCTCTAACAACAATTATGTTAAACTGAACTCTAATATAGAGACCATCTCAATTTCAATATTAGCAGGAAACTTGCGAACAACTCCAAGATGCCATTTATTTTTTTAAGTGAAACTTTATGTATTTATAAATGTATTCTCTATCTGATAATATATAAAGCATGTTAATAAAAGAGAATGACAATAACTAATTTAGTTCTTATATAGTTTTTGCTCTGACTGCCAAATTTTATGCCTAAACATAGCAACTGTATGAAAACTTATGATTGGGATTTTTTTCCTTCATATTTCCTTGTTTCAGATTTTTGATGTCTATTTCCTTTGATAAAATCCAGAAAAGTAAGAGGAAAATGTAATGTAACCCAGTAAAAGGAATTCCACAAGATGCTGAAACTTACCAAAGGGCCAGTTCAAATTCTGGGAGAGAGGAGTAACTAGCCAGGTAGGTGCCACAGTAACTGAATGAAAGCAAAGTGTAGTCCAGGAGAATGTTGCCTAAAATATAAAATCCATTATCAGGATTTGATTATGTTAAGACCATGTTCAGTTAACTATGATCTTACAGTTTATTTTCCTTTGCTAATGATTTTCACATAATTCAAAAGCATTTAACTATTAGAATAAGAAAGATCCTGGCTAATTTCTAAGACCATGAACAGAAAGCTTAGAGCAAAGCTAAGACCCATTTGTAAAAGATATTAAAGTGAATTAAGACCATGAGGTTACTATCTCTAGACTTCAATGCAGAACTGAGCATACTGCACCATGCATGTCCCAGCATGGTTTGAAATGACCCAAGAATCATCTCATAAATATATGAGACATTGTAATTAGAATAGTTATTTAGGCATCTTTAAATATCTTGGGGAGTTGTAATAATTCTAGCTTACTTCCTTATTTCTTTTATCTTAGGCCATATCTGGCCCTTAGCTTAATATCTTCCAGCTTATGGAATGGCTATAAAAAGTGACCTACTCCTTTGTACCTATAGTTGATGAAAAGCAACATGAATTCCAAAGTCTTAGCAACAACATGTTTTAAAATGCATACCACGGGGAGGCCAAAACAAGAAGAGCCTGTCTGTGCTTCCCAGTACAGAGTGGTCTGATTTTCCCTCTTCTTCATCTGCTCTTCAGTGGGGTTGCACAGGTGCAAGCTTTGCCCTCACCTCAGTCTGTCTTTGTATGTTTATGTCTCTATTGCTTGTTTTGTGGATTTTTAATAGCTGTTTTCTGCTTTTCTTCTCATTCTCATTTTAATTGACCATAATATAATCCTGAAATTTTGCTTCTGTCATTTATTGAATATATTCAGCATAGTCTAATCAACAAAGAAAAAAGTGTATTTATTGAGATTCACTACAAAAACTAGTTTTTCTGTAGGCAGAGACCTTAATGATTTTTAAATGCTTGCTAAACAGATGTTTCCCTCCACAATTGAAGATGACCAACTTTAGATATTCTTTAAATCTTAGAAAATATGGTATTTGAAGAAAATGCCAAAAAAAAAAGAGAGAAAAATATATTCTCTATAATCCTACCACCAAACTTGGTAAATTTCTTTCTAGAATTTTCTTCTGTGTTTACTTGAAAAAAATACATACATATATATTTTCTTTAAATATAACTTTGCTTTTTATAGCTATACTAGCCATAGATTAAACATTATATATGAGGCTGGCAGAGAGAGCTCACGCCTGAAATCCCAGCACTTTGAGAGGCCAAGGCAGGTGGATCACTGAGGTCAGAAGTTCGAGAGCAGCCTGGCCAACATGGTAAAACCCCGTCTCTACTAAAAATACAAAAATTAGTTGGGCGTGGTGGCAGGCAGCTGTAATCCCAGCTACTCAGGAGGCTGAGGTTGGAGAATCGCTTGAACCCGGGAGGCAGAGGTTGCAGTGAGCCAAGATTGCACCACTGCACTCCAGCCTGGGTGACAGAGTGAGACTCTGTCTCATAATATATAATATATATACACACACACACACACACATATATATGATAATCCATTTTTAAATGGAATTGGATTATAGTGCTACCTCAAGTTGGTTTTTAATTTATGTTATATTGACAATTTTATATTATCTTAACACTTCTTTAAATGGTGATTTTTAATGTTTGCATAATACCCCTTTATAGTATATTTTATTTAACTATATCGACAATACTGGAGATGTAGGTTGCTCCAATCTTGTGCTATTATGACAGTGCTTTTCAAACTCTTTTGCATGTAAATCTTTGACTATATTTTTAACCATTTCCTAAAAATTGAATTCGTCTTGAAGCGAGTATACTGAGTCAAATAGAGTAAATATTTACTTCACAGAAAGACTCTACCAATATATAGTCCCACCTTCAGCAAATAAGAGTGCTACCAGTTTCACTGCATTCTACCTAGCAATTATGATCTTAAAAAAGTTGTGACCTTGATAGGCAGAAAAATAGCATCTTGGTTTAAATCACACTTTTTAAAACAAATCTTGAGACGAAACATTTTTTGATGTCTTTGGTCATTTGTAGTTTTAGTGATTTGTCTGGGTTAATTTCTTTTCCATTGTTCTAAGAGGCTGTTTGTTTTGTTCTTGTTTCATTAATGCTCTGAAAATATTTGATCACATTTGTCCAAATATTTTACCCAGTTTATTATTTCCCTTTTAATTTTTCATGGTGTTTTGATGTTAATCAGTTTTAAATATATATACAATCAAATATGTCTGTCTTAAAGTTTTTGTTTTGTGTGAAAAGTTCTTCCCCTTCCTGGAATCACTCCTCTATTCTACTGTATTTTCTTCTCTCTCTCTCTCTCTCTCTCTCTCTCTCTGAGACAGAGAGAGATAGTTTCGCCATGTTGCCAGCCTGGAATGCAGTGGTGTGATCTCGGCTTGCTGTAATCTCTGCCTCCTGGGCTCAAGCAATTCTCCCACCTCACCCTCCTGAGTAGCTGGGATTACAGGCACATGCCACCATGCCCAGCTAACTTTTGTATTTTTAGTAAAGACAGGGTTTCACCATGTCGGCCAGGATGGTCTCGATCTGCTGACCTCATGATCTGCTTGCCTTGGAATCCCAAAGTGTTGGGATTACAGGCAGGAGCCACCGTGCCTGGCCTGTATTTTCTACTATGTTCAAGTGGATTTGTTATTTATATTGAATGCTTCTTTTCATCCGATATAGACCATGAGTATCTAACTTGATACTTTTGTTAAAATATGCATTTTCTTAACACTACTGTTGAATAATCTATATTTTTTCTTCTTCCTTCTTCTCCTTATTCCTCCCTCCTCCTCCTTTTCTTCTTCCTCCTCCTCTTCCTCCTTCTTTTTGGTGACAGCCTCTTTCTTCATTTACTCAGCTTTTATATAATTTAGATTCTGTCCCAAGTCTTCAACTCTCCCACTGATCTGGTGATCCCTGCACCAATGCCACACTTCTAATTACTATGGCACCATAATATTAAAATGCCTTGCCATCATTCTCTTTCAAATTATTCTCACTCTCTTATGTTTTATTTTCGCAGATGAATTTCGGAATCATTTGAGTACTCCTTGCTGTCTAAAACATATGATAAACCTACAAATTACTTTCTATGACAAATCTCAGAAATACATTTATAATAACCAGACTTTCCATCCAGGAATATATTTCTATACATTTAAATATTTTAAATCAGTGATTTTTGTAGTTTTCTTCACCTAGGTCACTCACACTTATTTTTTTTGAATTATTTCTAAGTATGTGTATCTTCTAATGGGTACTTATTGGGTACTTATTTCTTATTTCTAATGGGTACTTATTTCAAAACCAGCGTCTTACTGTGCATTCTTTTGTTAGTCCTAGCAGACTATTGCATTATCTATCATCTCCTTTCCCATAGCTATATTTTTCTTCAGTTTTATATTTTGTTGCATTGGCTAGAACTTCCAGGTTGATATTAAATAACAGTGAACACAGGTCTAATTAATATTACTGATTAATATTACTGGGAATTCCTTTAGGAATTCAGTATGACTCTTGGGTATTGGTTTGAACTAACTTTCAATTGGCTCAAACAGAACTATAGCCAAATAACCAACCTGGGGAAATTTTTAAGATAAAGTGTAGTTATGGTCCACCTAGATAGTTCCCAACATGTGAATGGGTTATGTTTTAAAAGTTGTCTTAAACTGTTGAGAATGCAAATTTTACCACAAACGAAGTATTATAAATTACAGTGAAGTTCTCTGACTTCACCCAAATACTTATTTGACCCTTAAGACTACAGAGCTAAGTCCAGCCTCAAGCATGAGCTTTCTGCCCATGGGGTGTCCAATGAGGGAATCATTAGCTGGAGGCTCCAGCAGATGTGCAGCAGCTCAGTATGGGTCAGCTATATCTAAGAAGGAGTCAGTAGGCCGGGCGCAGTGGCTCACACCTGTAATCCCAGCACTTTGGGAGATGGAGGTGGGTGGATCACTTGAGGCCAGGAGTTCGAGACCAGCCTGGCCAACATGGTAAAACCCCATCCTCTGCCACAAACATTAAAAAAAAAAAAAAAAGCCAAACACGGTGGTGCAAGCCTGTAATCCCAGCTACCTGGGAGGCTGCGGCAGGAGAATCACTTGAACCCAGGAGGTGGAGGCTGTAGTGAGCCAAGATCATGCCACTCTACTCCAGCCTGGGTGATAGAGCCAGACTCTGTTAAAATAAAATAAATAAAATAAAATAAACAGTAATAATTCAAATGGTAGGCAACATTGAGCACTTGGCATACACACATATACAATATATTATATAATTTCATCTATCATCATCACCACAGCCTTCACATTAGACACTATCTTTATCCCTATTTCATGGATGAGGAAATTGAGGCTCAGAGACTTGACTTTAGAAGCTATACAAACATTAATTTACCTGGATTTTCAACAAATATTAGGAAAGAAGAAAAATCATTGTTCTGAAAAAGGTGATAGTCTTCTAGTCCAGTGCTTCTCAAAGTTTAATGTGCGTATGAATCACCTGGGCAATTTTGTTAAAATGCAGATTCTGATTGAGTAGATCTGGTGTGGGAGCCAAGTTCTTGCATTCTAACAACAGCTTCCCCCAGGTACACAATGTTGCTAAACACGACCACAACTTACACAACGCAAAAAACGAAGGCTTAGCTAACCATAATTAAATCCTCAGTGGATCAGCTTTGATTCCTCTTAAAAATGTGGTATTAAAAAATAAAAAAGCCAGACAGGCCCATGGTGGGCTCATGCCTGGTAATCCCAACCGCCTTTGGGTAGGCCGGACCAGGCGGATCAACTAGGTTCCAAGGAGTTTCCGAGAACAGCCCTGACCATCGACATGGAGAAATCCGCCTCATACTAAAAATACACAAAATTAGCCGAGCGTGGT